CGCGGCTAGCGGCGGCGAGTGCTGGAAGGAGACGAGCGCGCAGGCCCCGAGAGGTGGGGAGAGGGGGTGGAAAGAAGGGTAGGGAGGGGAGCAGGGGAGGACGGGGAGGACGGAGGGCGGGCCTCCAGCCGAGAGGGGCCGCGCCCACGCCTGCGCACTTAGCTCCGTCTGCCGCTTTGGGCACGCTGAAGGGCGGGCGGCGGGAGGAGACGGAGGCGGCGTGGGCCCAGGAGCCAATCAGGTGCCAAAACGAAGCGCTTAGGTGACAATCCATGCCTCCAACGGGGCGGTGCCCCGCGTGGGGGCGGGGAGAAGGCATATGCAAAGTAAGTGACGCAACGACGATTTGGGTTTCTGGATTGGCCGAGTGTTTTGCCTGGAGGGCGGACATCTAGAGGGCTGGTTGGTGACTCGGCTGAAGAGGACCCCTCCTGGAGTAGCGGTTGTGTTTCCTCTGGCGCATGTGTAGGGTACACGTGTGTCTGCTCGCCGGGAGCCAACTGTGGAGAACTTTTCACGGATTGGAAAGGCACCGTGTTAAGCTAGGAGTGCGAAAGACCGTCCTTACTGGTTTGCCTCTCCACTTTCACCTCGGGTCTGCCAATCATTACTTTTCATCTGGGATGATTGTTATGAAAGTGAGAGGTGCAGCGGACTAGAAGTTTAAATTCCACTTGCTAAAAGATCTTAAACCAGTAGGTGGATACAGGAGAATCGACGATGAACTCCACCCTCTACTAGATAGATCTGCCAAGGTCAGGTTAAACATATCTTACCCTCCAACTTGATTGCAAAATGGTAACACGTTCTTAAAGATGGTGGGAAAGGGAATAGCTATTAGCTATTAGCTGCTTAACACTCCGTGGTGTGAAATGAACAATCTTTTCAAGTACATTTAGAGTTTCTCCTACCCTAGCTTGAGTCTGGACTGTCGCTACACCTTGTTCTTCACTCTTGTGCTGGAGAAAAGAATGCATATCACAGGGGTGGGAGCCAAAACATGCATGCTACACCTAGCTTCACTGCTTGACTACCCTTGAGACCTTAATGAAAAAGGCGGTCTTTCAACGTTCCATTTCCTCCTTTAAGGCCGAAAACTAGTTGCCACAGCCCCTGAGGAAATGACTCAGAGGTTTGTGAATAGCCCAGTGGGGGTAGTTAGAACCCAGCCCATAGATGAGTGAGTTGTCTTTGCGTTTACAGTTCTCCATTAAAGGTTCTTCCCTACCTACCACTGCTATTGAACAATGAAGGTCTAAATATGTCAACGAAGTAAAACTAAGATGTGGCCTTCACCAACCATGAGCTCACCTATTACTCCCCAAAGGTAAACTGCCCCAACCCCTAGAATGACCCCTAGGTAACGTCCTCTTGTGACCCCACACATTTTCCTGTTCTGCTGGCCAAAGTCAGCACTGGCCTGCAGCACCATCCCCAAAACCTTTTTCTCTGCCTCCTCCCCTTCTTGCTTCCTCCCTTCCTCTGTCCCTTTCTTTCCTCTCTTCTCTCCCTCCGTCCTTTCTTTCCTTTTTTCTCTTTCTGAAGCACGCACTTACCTATATTTAAGACCTTGTCTCTTATTCAAAGTTGAGTAGTTTGTGATTCCTGTCTTCGATTCCCTTATAATCTGGAAAAGCTAGACGCACATAACCTGCATGCAGTCCTCCCTTTCTTAGCTCCCCATCGATAATATATGATTGCCTTGAAGGAATGAGAAACTTGAAAACATGCACGGGGGGGGGCGGGGGAGCAGCTGAGGGCAGTTGAGGGCTGACATTGCAGAATCCCACCCCACTCCATGGTACTAGGGATTGAACCCCGAGCTTTTTCACTGAGCCCCTTCCCCATCTTTTTTTCATGTTAAATTTTGAGACTGGGTCTTGTTAATTTGCTGAATTGACTATTCTGGGCTCAGACACAAGAGTCCTCCTGCCACAGCCTTCCAGGGTGCTGGGATTGCAGGCACGCACCAGCATGCCTGGCTCCCATGGTGTGTTGTGACTGGAGATGTGCTCCCAGAACCAGGTCCTCCTCAAGGAGGCTGGCCCTTTCATCGTTGGCTCCCCTGCCCCCTCCAAACTACATCCCCGGCCCCCCTTTTTAATATTTGAGACAGGTTCTCACCAAGTTGCCTTAGCTAGGCTCAACCACTGCTTCACCCTCCCAGGTGCTGGGATTACAGGCATGTGCCGCCTGGCCTGGCTCTCTAAGTCTCCCCTGCCATCCTCCTTTCATTGTTACACGCTACCTTGGATTTTGCTGTCACCACCGCTCGCTGGCTCTCTTAATGAAAGGACTTCCTCCCTGCCTCTTGAACGTGTCTGGCCCTTCCCCACCCCCGAGTTAAATGGACCTTCACTCTTCTCTGTAGGTGGGAAAGGTAAATAGCAACCCCGTACAGGGCCCACCACCAGGTATCTCAGCTTGTCTTTCAAGGACTTTATGCTGCCTGAATGTGAGGATTTCTCCCTGGATCCTCCAGTTACTTCCCTTAAGGAGCCCTGCTGAGCTCCAACATCCTGTGAGCTTAAGCGCTGGCCAAGGCCAGCTGGCCCCAACCCTTTTGTCTCTGGATCTTTTTCTGCTGAGCTATTTGTTCCAAATTCCATTCTGCTACCTAGGCTGGAAACTGCACTCGTGCTCAGCTCAAAGGAATGCAGCCCATGTTGGCCAGAGAGTGCACCCGGAGATGGATAAGTAGAATCCTCCTTTACATTCGTGGCTTCCTTCCTCGCACCTGTGAGGCCAACTACATCGTCTCACCTGTTCCTTTTCCAACTGCATAGCAACAACTTCAGGTCACCTTCTAGGATGGGGAGGTCCTCTCTTGACTTCTCTGTAGTCGGCATGGTTTCCTGAGCCTCAGAGGCCCAGAGTCATTTCATTTGGCATGATATTTGCTGCCTTTCTTGAGTCACCCTGTTCTGCATATTGTTCAATCACATTCATGCATTCACTTATATGAAACATTTATTAATGAGCACCTACTATATTGCTCAGCCCTATGTTAGGAAATAAGAATAAGTAAATCAAGCCAGGGGTATAGCTTAGTGGTAGAGGGCTTGCCTAGCATGCTTAAGGCCCTGAGTTTGATCCCCAGCACCAAAAGGAAAAAAATAAATAAGGAAAAAAAAAATTAAGCCCTACCCTCATGTAGTTTATTCTACAATAAACTGGTAGCTAGAAGCAGACACACTTACTTATAATACTTACATACTTATACATATAATTATAGCACATTAAAACTCTTGAAGATAACCTGGGCATAGTGACCCATGCATATAATCCCAGCACTCTGGGAGGCTGAGGCAGGAGGATCACAAGTTTGAGCCCTGCCTTGTCAATTTAACGGCTTAGGGAGACTATGCCTCACAATAAAAAATAGAAAAGAGTTGGAGATCTAGCTTAGTGTAAAGGCCTAGGTTCAATAAATAAATAAATAAATAAAGCGGGCATGGTGGGACACACCTGCAATCCCAGCACTCAGGAGGGTGAGGCAGGAGTATCACTGTGAGTTTTTATTGATTTCCATAGTGGTTGCACTAGTCTGCACTCCCACCAACAATGGAGGAGGGTTCCTTTTTCCCCACAACCCTGCCAACATTTGTTATTGGTTGATTTCTTGATAGCAGCCATTCTTTGTGGGGTGAGGTGGAATCTCAGTGTTGTTTTCATCTGCATCTCTTGAATGATCAGTGATGTGGAACACTTTTTCATATATTTACTTGCTGCTTTTACTTCGTCTGAGAAATGTCTGTTCATTTCAGATGCCCATTTTTGGTTTTGTTTGTTTGTTTGTTTTGGTTTTTTGAGAAAGGCTCTCACTATGTAGTTGAGACTGACCTGGAACTCGCTGTGTAGCCCAGGCAGCTCTCCAACTCACAGAGATCCTCCTACCTCAGCCTCCCGAGTGCTGGGATTACAGGCATGCACCACCACGCCTGGCTAGATGCCCATTTTTGAATCAGGTCCTTACCACAATTTTTTTAAAGGTATGAATAATAGTTTGATCCTAGCCAGGTGTGGTGACACATGCCTGTAATCCCAGCACTCGGGAGGCTGAGGCAGGAGGATTGCTGTGAGTTTGAGACCAGCTTGGGCTACATGGTGAGTTCCAGGTCAGTCTCAACTACCTAGTGCAACCCTGTCTCAAACAAACAAACAAACAAACAAAAAATAATTTGATCCTCCAGTCTATACTACATAAGCATTTATTTAACTGGTGCTTATAAAATGAAAAGTTTTGCCATTAATCCTTAATTTTCTCTATTAACAGGAATACACAAATCACAGACTCTCTGAAAGTGCTCCCTTGTTGGTTTCTGAACATCTGTTAACTCTGCCACGTGTAACAAAGAATTTAACCTTTCCTTGCAACCTCAGGTCCTTCCTTAGCTTGTCTTTGGTGCTAAGGCCCTTGCTGGAGGTATGGATAGCAAGAACAAGGCCCTGAGAGAGTCTGCCCCTCCCACAGTAGAACTCCCTCTACCCAGCAAGGCTTGGAAAGGAGTGAACCCATCCTCGGGGTCTGGTTTGCTGTTGGTTGAGCCACAGGAAGTTGTTACTGGTTTTATGTTTAATTTGTAAAATTTTGTGTTTTTTACAATTTTTTCAGACAGGGTCTCACTGTGCAGTTGAGGCTGGCCTTGAACTCACTATGTATCCTAGGCTGGCCTCAAACTCATGGCAATCCACCTGCCTCAGCCTCTCAAATGCTGGGATTATAGGCGTGCATTATCATTCCCAGCTAATTTGTACAACTTTGAGACAAGGTCTGGCCTTGAACTCCTGGGATCAAACAAGTCTCTTGTCTCAGCCTCCCGAGTGGCTGTGATTCTAGGCCTGCACGGTTATTTGACTGTTTTTGACCTACCAAAACAACATTTCACAAGGCTCAGACTGGTAGATTTGAGAATAAACCAAAATGTCCTTGGAAACAACAGACCTATATATCGATAAGATCTTGCTGGGATGTGTGTGTGGGGTTGGTAATGGGATGTGATGACAATGAACTGACTTTAGTGCATGGAGAATGTGAACTGTAGGGTGAGGAATGAACCTGAGAATATAAAGCAGAAGGAAAAAGAAGTAGGAAGAGCCGCAGGGCCAGTTGAAATCTTAGTTTTTTCATTGCTGGGAGAAAATACCCAACACCCAAAGTTAAAGCAGGAAAGGTTTATCTGGCTCACAGTTTATAGAGATTTCAGTCCACAGTCAGGTGTCTCCAAGGCAGGTTGGCATGGCAGAGGGGCCTCACAGAGGAGAAATAGCTCATGATAGGCGGAAGGCAGCACAGTAACAAGGGACTGCAGCAGCACTCTTTCTGCCCCTTAGAGTCCATCCAGGCTGCATAGGGTGGGTAGCACTCACAACCGGGGTGGGGGACCCAGAATCCCCACATCACATCCTGGATCCCAGCAGCACACACCCTAAATCCAGCCACCTCTGAAAAGCCCCACCTATGACCGCATGAGACTTGGGGGGACATCTAGATACAAGCCATAACAGTACCTACTTCCCCACACTGTCCAGGAAAGAGCAACATAGAATTGGTGCTTATACACACGTGACACATGCCCTTCAAAATGTCTGTCTTTAGCCACCTTCAGATTGACCATCATCATTCTGCTCTACCAACAGTTTTGCTCCTGGTACCACCTTTGACAACTGAGACTCCAACTGGTCTGGTACAAAATAAAAGTATCTTCTTCCTAAGGGTAAGGTAGGAAAAAAGTTCATGTCAGAAAGAAATTTACATGAACATAATACTATTATTCATTAAGGGAGAAAACTGAACAGAAAAGGTCTTGTCTTGCTTTGCTTTTAAAATCAACTGCCAGGGCTTTTTCTGTTTATAGTACTCAAAGTTCAACACAGCTCAGAAAAAACAGAAGTCATCTGATGACTTTTTTTTTTTTTTTTTTTGTACCAGGGATTGAACTCAGGTTGTGCTTGCTTGCAAGGCAGGCAGCAGAACCACTGAGCTAAATCCTCGATCCCTGGCCCTTTTGCTTTTTTAAAATAGGGGCTTGCTAAGTTGCCCAAGCTGGCCTTGAGCTTGGGATCCTCCTGTCTCAGCCTTCTGAGTATCTGGAATTACAGGTGTGGGCTACATAGCCTGGTTCTGAGATTAAAAACTATTAGGAAAATATCCAGCAGCTAGAGGAAAATTGGAGTATGAAAGATGCCACTTTAGCACAATAGCATGCGATTACATCCTTTGTCTCCTATGAGTTGGATGGCTGGGAATCAGTCTTCTCCAGGCAGATGAACTCCAAAGGGCCCTCACATGGCTATGACCCAGGGTTGGTCCTGTGGTAAATTCCC